AGAAGAAGAAGAAGAAGAAGAAGAAGAAGAAGAAGAAGAAGAAGAAGAAGAAGAAGAAGAAGAAGAAGAAGAAGAAGAAGAGAAGAGGATGGCCATTAATTAACCCAAGGAGGATGGCTTACCACAAATTAAGACAAGATGGCTTTGAAAACAAAAAAATAGGAGAGGAGGCTGTGTCCGGCTGTCTTCGATGCAATTAAAAGATGAAATAGAAATAGGGTTGCAGCAGAAGAAGAAGAAGAAGAAGAAGAAGAAGAAGAAGAAGAAGAAGAAGAAGAAGAAGAAAAACAGAAGAGGATGGCCATTAATTAACCCAAGGAGGATGGCTTACCACAAATTAAGACAAGATGGCTTTGAAAACAAACAAATAGGAGAGGAGGCTGTGTCCGGCTGTCTTCGATGCAATTAAAAGATGAAATAGAAATAGGGTTGCAGCAGCAAGGGTTAAGAAAAGTAAAAGGGACAGTTTCGAAATGGGAAACATATTATTTTTAAAATTATAGGTAAATATATCAGTTTATAATTTTAGGTGTAGCAATAGGTTGTGGCAATAATCCCACTCAAATATTATGAATTTTTTTTTTGAACAGCAAAGAATAATTTAGTTAAATACTGAGTACAAGTGGTACTCAAACCCGATTACAAAAGCTGTATATAAGCCATTCAATGTTAATCCCATCTTTCAGACCCTCCCTTCTACTTCTACTTTTTCCTCCCACAATTAATAGAAAGACATGAAGCAGGGTTGGTTAACCAATCTGAAAGATTAAAGTAACATTTGGCTTTTCTAGCCTTAATCCATGCAAAAGAGCGCAATTGAATAAGTTTAAACAGTTTGGCCCAGTTTACCTTCAAATTCTAGAAAATCTTCCCATTTCAGGCCATCCATACTGACCAAATAAATGAGTTCCATATGCAATCCCATCCTTTTGAAATCCGTGAGCTTGTGGTCCATGCTCCAAAATTTTGAAAGGTTTTCCAACAATCCTTGTGTAACGTGACAGTGATCCCCCACCAATTTGCACATGCTTGCCACAACCTTCTAGCTATACTGCAATTCAAGAACAGATGGTTAGAGTCTTCATCCTCATTCTCACACATAACACACTTTCTATCTCTTGTATCTTTGACAATTCCTCTTTTGAGCAAGTTTATCTTGGTTGGAATTATGTCTAGCATTACTTTCCAGTTGAAAGCTGCAACTTTGCTTGGGAGAATCTTGCTCCATATTCTATTGAATATTTCAGCTTCCTCCGGTTCTCTTCTTTGTTTTATTAACATCAAGTAAGCTGATTTTGTTGAGTAATGACCATCATTGCTATGAATCCATTTCTATTTGTCCGGTTGGCTAGGAGTGATTGTCACATTCTCAATCATCCTTTTAAGTTCCTTTGCGTCCTCCTCTTCCCACTCGAACAAAGTTCTTCTCCATTCAAGGATCCATTTCCATGTGCCGTTGATGTTTTGGCCCATTTGGTGGCACTTGCTATCCTTCCCTGTTGATAAGAGATATAATCTAAGAAATTTGTTAGCCAAGCAAACCTCCCCACACCACTCATCCCACCAAAAACTTCCATCTTTCCCCTCTCCTATCTTCATCCTAAAACCCGAAGACAACCATCCCCCAATTGCCCCATCCCCCACATTGAGGTTTCGTATGTCTCTCCACCATAGTGATCCTATATTTCTGCCATCTCGCACCCAATCCAGCCAATGCCCCCCGTTCAGTCCATATTTCCCTTCCATGACACTCTTCCACAATGCCTTATCTATATTTGCAAGCCTTCCCCACCATTTTCCCATTAACGCCAAATTAAATTTCCTTAAGTCTCTCACTCCTAGTCCTCCATACTTCTTTTGATTACAAACCCTCTCCCATTTAACCCAATTGGCTTTTTTTAACTCTTCCCCCCCTCCCCATAGAAAACCTCTACGAATTTTATTGAGAGAATAGAGTATACCTTTAGGTATTTGGTAGGCTGACATCATGAACACAGGTAGACTGGATAACACAGAGTTTATGAGCGTAATTCGACCTCTGAAAGATAAGTGTCTACCTCTCCAGCTTGCAAGTTTCTTTTTAAAAGTATCCACCAGCGGTTGCCGCATTGCCAGCTTTCTATGATTCCCACCGATTAGAATTCCCAAGTACTTGAAAAGAAGTTCCCCTTCTTTGCAGCATAGCCTGTAGGCCATCTTCCTCTTCCAACTGTCCTCAATCCCGACACCCCTCAGCTTACTTTTTCCATAGTTAATTTTCAGCCCCGAAACTAGTTCAAAAGTCCTCATGATGCATTTGATAGCAGTAATATTTTCTTCTGTTGCCTCACCAAAAAATATTGTATCGTCAGCATATTGAAGATGAGAAACCATCACACTACCATTACCTATCTTCACTCCTTTATACAACTCCTTCACCACTGCAGATTTCACTAAAGCATTCAGCCCCTCCGTCACTATTAGGAATAAGAAAGGGGATAGAGGGTCACCTTGTCTTATTCCTTTGCTGACTTGGAATTCTCTTGTTGGGCTTCCATTAAGAAGAATTGAGATCATGCTCGATTGCAAGCGCTCCCTTATCCATTTTCTCCATTTGACTGGAAACCCCATCCTCCCGAACATGTACTCGATGTAATCCCAGCTGACCTTGTCATAAGCTTTTTCAAAGTCGACTTTGAACAGAATGCTCTTTGTCTTCTTCCTTTTTGCCTCATCAATCACCTCATTGGCAATCACAACGCTATCCATCAGCTGTCTGCCTCCTATGAACACCATCTGTTGCTCCTCGATGACCTTATCAAGTACTTTTCTGAGGCGATTACCTAGTAGCTTTGCAATGATCTTGTACATCACCCCAATGAGTGAGATGGGTCTATACTCCTCAATTCTTTGGGGGTTTTCAACTTTTGGGATCAACACAATGAATGAAGCGTTTGATCCTTTCACCAGCTTCCCGTTCTTGTGGAATTCCTGAGCAAAACTGGTAATATCCTGTTTTATGTCCTCCCACATAGCCTTTATGAATCTGAAGTTGAACCCATCTAGACCCGGGGATTTAGTTGAGTCACAATCCCAAACTGCGTTTTTAATTTCTTCTTCAGAGAAAACAGCCGTAAGAGACTCGTTGTTCGTCTGGGAAAGTTGATTAAAATTAATGCCATCTAGTCTTGGTCTCTGCCACCTTTCTTCCGTGAATAGACCTTGAAAGTAGCTCGCCACCTCTTCTCTTATCTCATCCACTCCCCCAAGCTGCTTATTATTAATTTGGATGCTGTTAATCTCATTTCGTCTCCATCTGCCTTTCACACAACTGTGGAAAAATTTTGTGTTTGCATCCCCCTCTTTCAGCCACATCTTTCTTGTTTTTTGCTGCCACATGCTCTCCTTAATTCTTAAATTCCTCCATAGCTTTATGAAACCTCCTTTCCTAATTTCAATGTCTTCTGTCGTGAGTGTGCCATCTTCCCCTTTCTCATCCACTGCAGCTATTACCCTTTCTGCTTCCTTTATTTTACAATCAATATCGGCCATGTAGTTTCCACTCCATTCCTTCAGGGCATTTTTTGCTCTTTTCAATTTCTCCTTTAATCGGAAACCCTTCCAACCTTTGGGTGCTATGGAATTCCACGCCTTTCTAATCACCTCCATGCACTTGGGTTGCTTTAGCCAAGCATCAAAAAATTTGAAGGGTTTTGGACCCCAATCAACCCTTTCATTCTTTAGGAGTATAGGGCAGTGGTCTGACACTGATCGTTCCAAACCCCACTGTTTTACATCTCCCCATTTTGCAAGCCATTCATCTGAGAGCAAAAACCTATCAAGCCTACTCATGCACTGGCTGTTAGAGCTATACTTGGTATATTTTTTCCCCACCAGAGGTAAATCAACTAGTCCAGCATCTTGAATAAAGCTGTCAAACTCCCTCATTTCCGTCGTTAAACTCCTACACCCCTCCCTTTCCCTTACCTTTCCCTTACCTTTCTTACAGCATTAAAATCACCCTCTATACACCACTTTCCTCTTCTTATATTCATCAAATTCAGTAGATCCTCCCATAAAGTTCTTTTTCCCATCAAGTGACATGAAGAATAAACATTGAGCACATGCACTAGCGTCTGATCCTCACCCCAACTACCACTCACCCCAATGAAATTATTCCCCTCCATCAGCTCCTTTTTTTTAAACACATTAATATTCCATATGCACAAAAGGCCTTCGGACAAACCCACAGAAGGTTTAAAGATCCAATCAAAGTCATCAGTACCCCAAACTCTCCTACAAGTACTTCTATCAATACTTTCCATTTTAGTCTCCTTAATTGCTAAAAAATCTACTCTCTCCTTCAAAACTAGCTCCCTTATTTTTCTTTTTTTACCCACCCCACCTAGTCCTCTGATGTTAAAGGATAACAATATCATTAGCGGCTTTGCTTACCTTCTGTGCATTATCTACTTCCCGGTTCATCTTCACTTCCTTAGCTTGTCTGTCTCTACATTCCATTTCTTCAATTTTTTCCAAAATCACATCATCGTTATCTGCTGTCGCCCCCAGTTGTTTAGCTAACTGCCATATTTCTTTAGCTAACTGATTTTGAAGTTGTTTTTTCAGCACCCTGTTGCAGTTTTGAATTCCACTATCACCGATGGAGATATCCGCTACTTCACCTTCTGGGCTCCTTAGAAACTCTGGCATCTGCTTCTCCCTCGTTGATTTCCTGATCTTTCTCCTATGACCATTTAATCTTTGCTTTCTCTCCTCAGCAGCTTCCTCCCTTTGATAAACCGAGCTACAGAGACTAATTTTCTTCCTCCTTTTCTGTTGTGTTCCCACCACTTGCCTTAGCTTTCGGTTTTGCCTCTGTTTTCTTTCACGCTCGCAGCTTTTGTAAGTCAGATCTCCTTCTTGCCTCTGTTCCTCTTCACCGTTAGCCTCTTCCTAGTACCCATCCCCTTCCTGGCTGTGTTCTTTTGCATGCTCAAGACCCTTCCGAATCCGGATTCCCTCTTGTCTCTGTTGTTCGTCTCTTTTGAGAGCAGACCGATTCGAGTCTCCTTCTCTCCTCTGTTCTTCATCGTCTTCAACTTCTTCCCGGTACCAATACTCTTCTTGGCTGAATTCCTCTACATGCTCGAAACCCCTCCGAACTTGGTCTCCCTCTTGTCTTTGCTCTTCGTCACTTTCAAGGTCCGGTCGAACCAAGACATCTTCTCTCCTTTGTTCTTCTGCACTTTCAGGATGCTTCCATTTCAGCTTTCCTTCAACCTTTTTGTCTTTAGCCAAATCCACCTCTCCGATTCTAGAATCCTCCATTTCTTTATCAAAAAATAGGCTTGGGTTTAGCTTTTTATGGCCCAAGCCCATATTGGTGGACTCCACAATGCTTGGGCTGGCTCCTTGTGAATTAGGCCTTCTATTAAGTCTCCTATACAATTTTTTCTTTTGACCCAGATTACTTCTTTCCACTTCACCTGGGCTTGCTGTCTTTTCACTACTCACCGACTGCTGCTTCCTTTGTTCCCCTGCTGCTTTGGTCTTTCCACAATTCAAATTTTGAACATGGTCCAGGCTGTCCACCACTACTTCAATAGTCATCTCTTCCCCTTGATCAGAGTGCAAACGGCCCTTTTCACTAAACTTTTTTTTACTGTGTGCCACATCATCATCTTCTTTCTCCGCCTCATCTGATCTTTCTTTTTCCTGCTTCATCTCTGCAATATTTTCAAAATTAAAGCCCTCATTTTCACTACCCAGCGACCATGATTCATAATCCTTAGATTCACTTTGGAAGGTGGGCATGAAATCTTGCTTCAATGAGAAAAAACTATTGGTGAATTCCTCCTTCGTGAACTTGACATTGTAGAAAGACCCATTGATTTTAATTTGTCTTCTAACTGAAATGGTGTTCATACTTGGAGTTGAAATTAAGAATCTGGTAATGTCGAACCTCTTCCTTTGGCTTGTACTATCATCTAAGCATATAAATTTGCCCCATGAAGCTCCCATGGTTGCAAAAAACTCTGGCCCTCAAGCATTCAAAGGAACTCCTTGACATCTAATCCATACAAATCTTTCGTCAGCGACCATTTCTGGAGACCACGGTTTTACCTCTTCGAACCATCTTCCTAACCATTCGGATGCCATCTCCACTAGTGCTTTTACTTCTTCTTTGTCATCCCCATCTAACAGCACCATTTTTCCTCCTATAGCACGGATTCGACAAGAAAAATACCTTTCCATGTAGAATTTTTCCTGTAGATTGCGTACCATTTCCACATTATGGACCTTTCCTACGAAACAACCATCCAACCATGTGTAGTCTTCTGCTTTGACATTATATTCGAATCCAACCCACCTGTCACTTTTTCCTTTTTCCTACCATACTTGTCTGCCATTGTTGCTCTGTTTTCCAGCTCTAGATCTACTTCTTCTCTGCCTATGACCTTCAGTTTGGATTTCATTAAGCTGGTTTATTCCTTCCTCATTCTGTCTTTTTGCTTGTTGGCCTCTCACCATCTCAACATAGCTCCTTCTCTGAATTTGCGGTTCCGGATGGTGCTTATTTTCCTGCACCCTTGTCTCCTTCTGCGCCTCATCATATCTTGGGGAATTCACCCATAGTTTGCGGTTCTCTATCCAGATCTGGTCCAGTTTTCTTTCTAGCTCCTTCTTGTCCTTCACCTCCAGGAATCTCACAAACCCAAACCTGCTGCCATTCATGCTCCTCCTGTTTGGACTATAATTGTCGTATACTCTTTTGAATTTCTTAAAAGTTCTCCAAATATTTGCATAAGTCCATTCTTCTGGGAAATTTGTAAAGAAATAAGGGATGGCTTGTTTGTATAGTCCCCAATCATATGAATCCCCCAGCTTCTGTTTTTGAATCTGATTCTGATCCGCATATGCCTTCCGATGTCCACTTGGTGTGGTTTTCCTAAGTTGCTTTCTTCTTGGAAATCTTGCATGCTCAACACTCTGTGTTATCCTTCTTCCCGTTATCCAGTGATCGCCTCCTCTCTCTCTCTCTCTACCTCTCTCTCTCATCTCTCCTGAGTTCCTCAAATATTATGAATTGTATAGTATATTTACATTAATTATGGATGGGGCCTTTTCTGGAGTCGGTAACAAGTGTGGTGTTGGTGGAGTATTCCGGGAACACCCTGGTGATTTTTTGGGAGCATTTCAGGAACCCTTGTCTGGTGTTTCTAGTGTAGTTCAATTGGAAGCCATTGCAATTTTACATGGATAAGTGGTTGCTCGAGAGATAGGTTTTATCAGCATGGTGGTGGAATCTGATTCTATTATTATGGTTAGATTAATTACCAATCCTTAATTAGCCAGTTTTGTCTGTAGTGGGTCCTCTTGTTGATAGAATTAGACGGATTGCATCTGGGTTTAACCATATTACTTTCTTGCATGTTCGGAGAGAATGCAATAAGGTACGAAAACAATATTTTAGGAGCAAAGGCAATCGGAGATATCAGGGGAGAGAGAATGAGAGGACTAGAGGGAGAGCGTCGGAGGTGAGGCAATCGGAGATCATAGGAGCAACGACATCTAAACGTTGCAGGAAATTCCTATGCTGATGTAGTGAGAAACAACAAGCAGGTGCCTGAAAGGAATGGAATGATGGGAAAACGTTGGACTCCAAGGAAAATCGACAAGGAAAAGGAAGAGATGTTTGAGATGGGAGAGGTAATAGAATGCCAGCCGAGTTTGGATATGGAAGAGTGGCTGAAAAACTGCTTTGTTGGCCAAGTTCATAAGTTGGAAGCACTTGATGAATTGAAAGACAAAATCTTAATTGGAGGTTTCTTCTCAATCAACGTTGTTCCACTGGGGGGAACCTCGTGCTAATATACAGTGAGGATGATGGAGAAGTAACAAATCTCCTCAAAGAAGGCAATGAATTGATAGGAGAATGGATGGCAAATGTAAGAACATGGAGTATAAAAGAGGTGACACCAGAGAGATTCACATGGATCCGCTGTCATGGGATTCCTTTGAATATATGGAATGAGGAGAACTTCATCAAGATCAGAAGTGCATGCGGACAAGTTATTTTGTAGACCACAATACATTATCCAAAAAATGAATGGATGTGGGCAAAATCCTTATCTCTACAACATCAATCGAAAACATTGTTAAGATTCTCAAGATCGAAGTGGGCAATGAATTCTTCCAAGTGAGAATCTGTGAAGATGCAAGTATTGAGGATGTCTTCAAACCATGTTACCGATTGGAGGAGGATGGAGATTCTGACAGTGAATCATGGATGGAGGATTCTCTGTTAGAGCACAGTAGTTTAGAATGGGATGGTATAGATCTAGAAGAGCTGGAGGAAAAGATTCAGGAAACTCCAACGGGAAATTCTGTCTTGGAGGAAAGAGGAATGCTGGATAGGGAGGCCGGCTTCTTGCCGGCAGTAGAAGGTGAGAAGATGACCGTTGAAGTTGAAAAGACATCAGAGTTAGAAGGGGAAGTGGAAATGGTGGCTGACTTGATTGCTGAAACCAAGGAAGAAGCGGGCTGCAGCCACCCAATGATGATGATAGCCACTGTGCACGAGGAACCTACAAATGAGCTGACTTCCCAATGGAGAATGGAGACAAAAAAGCAAAAAACGAAGAAAAGATTGAAGCAGATAGAGCTAGCAACAATGAGCCCCATATAAGCCCCTTTGGTTTAGCTCACAATAAGCCCACACGAGTAAGTGCTAATGGGCCAAATAATGTTAGTCTAACCCAGATAAGTGCACCGATGATTGTGTGTAATCAGAGGAGGCTATAAGCCATATTAATAAAAAAGAACCTTTTAGAAAGCAAGGAGAAAAGACACAGCAATCAAGAAACAAAAGGGCTAGCGAAAGATGCAATTAAAGAATGAAATCGAAGTGAAGATTCCAGAGTGGAATCTCAAGATTTCTGGGCAGGCCTAGCAAGTGAAGATGAACTATCCAAGGTGAGATTAGAGGAAAATTGAAGAAAAAGTTGAAGAAGGGTAAAGGGGCTCGAAATAAAAAGGTGAGGAACATGATAGAGCAGATGATAGCTGGATGCAAGAGAACCCACCCAGATAAAGCTAATGGAGTCACCTTTCAGATAGAGCAGGAAGAAGAAATTTCATCAAAAGATAACGCCATTTCAACAGGTGGCATCATCAGTTGCAACTATAGATTTATGATGAGATCATGGGAAGAAGAAGTGAGGGAACTTTGGGAAGTGGGAAAGAAGTTAGGACTAGTTAGAAGGGGCAATGAGGAGGAAATAATCAAGAGGTTAGGTGAGATGGAAAAGAGGGACATGATTGCTCTAGCAGAACAAAAAAAGAAAGCTAAAACAGGAGAGGAAAGGGAGGTAGCATTAAAATGAAGATTCTTTCTTACAATGTGAGGGGGTTAGGAGGAAGCGGTAAAAGGAGATAGTTAAGGGAAATGATTGCAAAGGAGAAGTATGATGCGGTGTTTATACAAGAAACAAAACTAGACTCATTTGATGAAAGGACTAGCAAAACAATTTGGGGATCTGGTGATTTTGATTGGACAATGAAATTGGCCATTGGGAATTCAGGAGGCATCTTGTGTGTATGGAACCAGAATAGTATCAAGGTCTAGAATAAGTTTGAAGGCTTCGAGCTTTGTGGGTTTGATGGTTTGTGGGGGAATAAGGAGGTACCTTGTCTGTTCATTATTGTGTATGCACCTTGTAGTCGGCAGGAGAGGATTCTTGTGTGGACAGAAATATAAGGGATGCCAAACAACTATGGAGATAGATGGTGGTGCATTGGAGGGGATGTTAACGCATTAAAGAATGTAGAAGAAAAGCAGAGGCGATACTTGGACCAAGGAAGTATGTCTAACTTTAATGATTTTATTTCTCATACTGGTTTGGTGGATTTACCATTGAAAGGTAGGAAATATACATGGTATAGGAGTGATGGCCAGGCAACAGGTAGATTAGAAAGATTCTTATTGTCAAGCAACGTTCTACAAAATTTTCAAAACATAGTTTAGTGGGGACTGCATAGATCATTATTAGACCATTGCCCAATAGTTCTACAATTTGTCTAAGAAGATTGGGGTCCGAAGCCTTTTAGAACCATTGATAGTTGGTTAACACATCCGAATTTTGAAGTTTTTGTGAAAGAAAGATGGAATAGTTTTGATGTAAAGGGGTGGGGTGGCTTTAGATTGAAAGAGAATTTGAAAATGTTGAAGAAAGAGCTTGAAGTATGGAGCAAGGAGATTTTTGGAGTAATTGAGAACATGATTGAGAAAGCAAAGGAGGAAATTAGAGTAATTGATGAGAAGAATGAGTTGAGGAGTATTAATGGCGAAGAAAAGAACAAAAGGGTAGATATCTTTAAACAATTACAAGAATGGGCGAATATAAGAAATAACTTATTACATCAAAAAGCAAGACAGAAATGGCTAAAGGAGGGTGATTCAAACAGCAGGTATTTCCATTCTTGTGTGGTTAGAAGGAGAAATCAGAATAGCTTGGCTAGAATTATCCAGAATGGTAGATGGGTTGATGGAGGACAAAAGGTTAAGGGAGCTGTAAAGGAGTTTTTTTTAGCAAAAATTTAAAGAAGACAGTTGGGGTAGACCGGTAGTGGAAGGTATTGAATTCAAGAAGGTGAGTGATGAGGATAATGCTATGCTGATGGTAGAATTTTCCATAGGGGAAATAAAAGAGGTAGTGTGGAGCTACGGAGGTAGTAAAAGTCCTGGTCCAGACGGTTTTAATATTAATTTCATCAAACGGATGTGGAGTGTATTGGAAGAGGATATATGTGGTTTCATTAGAGAATTTCATCAAAATGGGAAGCTGGTTAGAGGTTTTAATGCTTCTTTCATTGTATTAATTCCCAAGAAGTCAAATCCACAAGGTATGAATGATTATCGCCCTATTTCTTTGATTGGGTGCATGTATAAAATCATTTCAAAGCTTTTGGTCAATAGATTGTGGAAGGTGATGAATAGCATAATCATTGAAAACTAGTCAGCATTTGTGGGGACTAAGCAGACAACTGATGGTATCATTATTTTAAATGAAGTGATACATGATCTGAAAAGGAGAAATAAGGTAGGACTAATCTCCAAGGCTGATTTTGAAAAGGCATATGATAATGTGGATTGGGGATTCCTAGACTTTATGTTGGACAAAATGGGATTTTGCTCAGGATGGAGAGGTTGGATAAAAGAGTGTTTGTCAACAGCAACAGTTTCAGTGCTCATCAATGGCAGCCCAATAGGAGAATTTAAAGTGGGAAGAGGATTGAGGCAAGGTGACCCTCTCTCACCATTTTTGTTTTTGATTGTAGTGGAGGCTTTAAGTGGTCTAATGAGAAAAGTGGAGGAGATTGGGATCTTAAAAGCAATTCGGGTCGATAATGGGGAGCTGGCCATATCTTACTTACAATTTGCGGATGATACCATCCTACTCAATGAAGCAACATAAGAGAATGCATGGGCCATGAAATGTATAATGAGGTGTTTTGAGTTGATTTCCGACCTCAAGGTGAATTATGATAAGAGTTGGCTATGTGGCTTAACTGTTGATAAGAATACAATTAAGGAGTTGGCATCAACTATGAATTGTTCAATGGGGAGCATTCCTTTCAAATATTTGGGAGTACCTGTTGGAGTATATCCTAATAGAATCACTACTTGGTGCCCAATGATTGATTGTATGAGGAGGAGGTTAGACAATTGGAGGGGAAATACATTATCGTTTGGTGGGAGAATTGTCCTTCTTAATGCCATTTTATCCTACTTACCAGTGTATTTCTTCTCAATATATAAAGCCCCAAAGAAGGTAATTAAAATACTCACCAAGCTTCAACGTAATTTTTGTGGGGTGGGGGTGGGGGTGGGGGTGAGGGTGATAGAAAGATAGCATGGATAAAATGTGAGGTGATATGTAGGAAAAAATTAGAGGGACGACTAGGTGTTAGAAATTTTGAGAGTTTCAATAGAGCCTTATTAGGCAAGTGGAAGTGGGGAATTTTGAGGGAGAAATAAGCACTATGGAGAAAAGTTATATTCAAGCCGTATGGGTGTATTAGGAAAAGGGGATGGGAAGGGTGTATACAAAATGAGAAAGGGTATGTGTGGTGGAAAGAGTTATGGAAATTGGAGAGGGTAGATAGCATAAATTTGGAATGGTTAAAGGATGATAAGAAAGGTAGGGGAAGGCAAGGAGACATTGTTTTGGGAAGATGTGTGGATAGGAAGTGTGAGCTTGAGGGAGAAGTTTCCAAGATTCTATTCCTTAGCTACTAATAAACAAGCCACGATAACTGCGGTAGGCAGGAGTGGAGAGGGTGAAGGAAAATGGGGGTGGGAATGGCGTAGGACTTTATTTGTTTGGGAATCTAATCTTTTGTAGGAATTGAAAGAAATCCTAAGTCAAATACATTTGCAACAAGGACGAGAGAACTGTTGGGTATGGAAATGGGAGAGCACTAGAAGATACTTGACTAAATCTGCCTATAACCAAATCACCCAATCACGATTAAGGCAAGATCTAGATCACTTTAAGTAGATCTAGAATGGATCAGTGCCTTTAAAAGTTGCAACGTTGGCTTGGAGATCTTTGTATGACAGATTACCTACAAAAGACAATTTAGCTAGGAGAGGAGTTATCATTAATAAAGAGGAAATCATATGTAGTTTGTGCTTAAATGAAAAAGAATCCTTCGCTCATTTGTTGTTTGAATGCCCAATTTCTTGGAAGCTTTGGTCATACTATTTATCTTGGTGGGGTTTTTACTTAGCAGTTGAGGTTGATGTTCAAAGACATTTCAAACAACATATGGGGCTCATTTACGATATGGCTCTCAAAGAAGCTTGGAAGGTGGTGTGGTTTGCAACCAGGTGTGGTTTGCAACCATGTGGACCATATGGAATTGGAGGAATCAGAAAGTATTTCGAAAAGAACAAGACAAGGAAGATGATGTTGGCGAGCTCATCAAATACAGGTCATTCTACTGGGTAAAGACAACTTTGTCCTGATTTGAAGCAAGATCTATGGAAGGAAAACCCCAAAATGGCACTAAGAGGGCAAGCTATGAACTAATCCTTGAAGGGGTGTGCTATTCCTAATATTTCTGTGCTGTTTTCTTGTATTGGAAAGGCAATAGCAATGTAAGCTGTGGATTATATAAGGGTTGGGTACCCCTTGTACCCAAGGAAATAAAATTTTGGCTTATAAAAAAAAAGAGCAACGGGATCCACGGAACAGAGAACAATCAGTACACCAGGGGAGAGGTCATCAGTTTCAACCCGGTAGAAGAGTTGATTGGGGAGTTCACAAACAATCAGTTCCATTTTTTTTCACGAACTTCCCTAATGACTGGAACTAAGAGAGATGTGGCGAGCTTTCAGTAAGTTTGGTCAGCTATGGGAGATATATTGTTTGGACAGGAGGGATAAGAATGGGCGGAGCTTCAGATTTCTTCAATTCCAAGATGTGAGAAATCCAAAAGCTCTAGAAAGGGAACTTGATGAGATTAGAGTCGGAGACAAGAAGCTTCATGTTAACCAGCCAAGATTGGATAGATTCTCAAATGTAAATATTGAGAACGGGAGAAGAAACAGACAAACAACACACAAAAATGGTACAAAGTCATGTTGATATGTGGTAGTGGGGAGGTGACACGAGTAGCCTAGGCTGAAACAACGAGGAACCAGTAGGTCATTAAGAATGGATGTATGAAAACATGGAAAGTAAAACAAGGATGCACAGACTGGAATGGATTGGAATTCAATGTGGATGAAAAATAATTCTCTTGGCTAGAGGGTGTTTTGTAGGGATTGCCAGAGCAATGAAGATAATCCCCTTCCTTTAGATCAGTTTTATACATATGGAAGGTTATTTGTCAAGTTCATTGAAGCCTGTGGGGGGTAAACTTGAGCTACCACAGTGTGAAGATAAGGATGAACTAAAGTATTTATTAGAGAATGTAGGTGAATGGCTGGGGCAATGGTTCGATGAACTGAGGCCATGAACTCTAAACATATATTGTAGCTAGTGAAAGATTTGCATGGATATGATGTCAGGGGATTCCTCTTCATGTATGGGGTTCAAAGTTTTTTAATGGTTTGAGTTTATTGTGGGGGAATTTTGTATATGTGGATGATAGTACATATCATAAAAAGAGGTTCAATGCAGCCCGAGTTCTAATTTCTACCTCTTTTAGTGAGGTGATTTCGAAGGTTATGAAAGTAAAAATTAATTGAGAGTTGTATAACATTACGTGTGTTAAAGAAGAGGCACCACTTACTATTTTCTCCACAAAATCAGATTTCATTGTTAACAATCCTCTAGATAAGGAACACAATAGTGATTCTTGGGGGTAATCAAGTTCTGTAGAAGGCCAGTCAATTTTTGGTGATGAAGGTAGATTTTCAGTCTTGTCATAGAAGGAAGTTGGAGAAGAAAATGAAGTGGCAGCTACTCAAGGCTTGGAATTGAAGGGGGCACAAAGTTTAAATTCTAACTGTAGTGTGGGGGTTGAAGGCACGAAGAGTATCATAAATGGGAAAAAGTCGGCTAATGATGGTATTCCCAAAAAGACAATTTCTGGGCAAATGTTAATGTCAACCAAGCTGGCCCTAGCAGAATGGTGGCTGTGCAGGGGGAAAAGAATGCTAGAGAAGAATTTGAAGAACTGCATGACGGTTGGAATGCCGTGAATAATGAAAATGTGGGCTCATCAATTGGGTCGATTTCGTCAAAGCCCACTAGTGATT